GACGTGAAATGCAAGAAATGAAAGAAAAATATTGATATAATAATAGCACCTGATTAAAGATGCATTAGCCCAAGCTAATTCTACGGCTTTTCGCATTAGGAAACCACCAAATATTTTGCCATATATATTTCGTTCTATTGGAAAACAAACAATGGTATCACTAAGACAAGCATCATGAATCCATACATGATTGGGTGATAATCGACTATAACGTTTTTGAGCTCTGAAAAAGGGCGAAAAAAAAAACTCTTTTTGATAATCTTTTACTTGACGATTTAGAGAAAATAAATTAGAGAAAATAAAACCAGGGAATTATCATACGTCTTGAATTTAATGATAATAAAGCTGGAAAATATCATACAAAAAAAAAGTAATTATTCAGCTATATGAAAGTAAAATTTCAACCGCTGAGTTGAAAATAGCTCATATTTTTCATTCTATGAATTATACTACTGATAATATGACTCATTATAAATAGCTTTAGAATTCATTAGTAGGTAGCAGTAATCTTTAAATCAAGACAAGTTTTTTTTTTTTTTTTTTTTAAATTAAGAAACTAATAAAAAGTGTTAATGCGGAAGTGTATAATCCAATGAATTCGTTCAAATAGATCCTTACCCAGAGCCGATATTTTTTTTAAAAATATCGTGCAGTACTTTAATTTCGCTTTCATTAGGTGGTGCATTCAGTAACGAGCATTCTTCATTCAATTTGCGTAATCTTTGACCCTCTGAAAGTAATCCATAGGCAATAATCATAATTGATCAGAGGTAAAAATAAAATCACATAATCTGATCCATATTAAAATAGAGAAAGAAAAAAAGAGAAATAATTTTCTTGATCAAAAGATTTAAGTCTGACAGTTCAATACCATTATTTGCAAATAACATCATTTCTTCTTTTTTTTGTCCTTTCTACAGCTCTTTGTTTCTTTCCAATGTTTCTCGATAGCCGAAAAACGAGAATAAATGTGAGGAAAAAGAGAGGGAAAAGGGAGGGAGCGAGAGAGAGAGAGAGAGAGAGGATGAGAATGAGAAGGAGAAAAAGATAAGAAAGTTTTATATGGAAATTGTAATGTACCATTAACATACATTTCCTTCTCATTTTACTACTATTGTTCATATTTTAAAACATTCATGAGAAAGGTATAATAAAGTGAAATACCTTTTCCTTCATTAAAAATCACTTCCTCTTTAGCATTTGTAACTACCAATGGAACATTGGGTAGCGATTTTTTACCTTCCACATCACGTGCAACAATTACAAATTTTGTTTGTAAGAATTTCTTCGTTACACCATTCTAAATGATAGCAATGTCAAATTTTTGCTAATGAATTTACGAAAATAGTGAGCTGTTAATAATTAGCTTATCAACAATATTAATCAGCCAATAATAATAACTTTGTTAATTTTGAGATTAGAATAAGGATTTTTGTTTGAATTAGAGTTTTAAATCAGTAGAAATATTTTCAATTAATTTCAGGATGTATCATAGAACTGAGAATTGAGTTTTAAATTCGTATATGTGAAACATACGACATTTTGAGAAAGTTGCATTGAAGTCTCAAGACTCGATCTGCCTACCCAACTTACAAAACCATCCATACAAATATCTTCGTCAACTACAATATCATATTGATCATCCATTCCTGTAGCATGAAAAGCAATTACATTAAAAATAAGCTACAGTGAAAGTTTACAAATTATTGACAGTTTCTCAATAAAATAAGAATTGCCCTCAAGAATGCATCGTTTACAGTGAAATATACAATAGTATTATAGAATAAATTACTGATATGATCGACACATGCCGTGACGAATGTTATTGGTTCAAAATCTTCCGAATTTTGTAAATGAATCTCTCCTTGATTGTGTCGATAAGCTAACCAAACTAAAATTTTATTTAAAATTTTAAAATATAGCTAGTGCCAAATTTGAATTTAAAAATTAAAAAAGGAAAAACTAGAAATGAGGAATTTCAAACCTCCAAAGTCTAAAAATAATTGAAAAAAATTTTTAAAAAAATTTAAAAATTAATTTTCCCTTTAAATTAACTAATAAGCACTTTCAGTAATCGTAATAAATCAAAGATACATTAATAATTATAGTTTATGAAAATCAAAAAACAAACCAGCAAATGTATCGAGATCTTCCAGGAGCATGCCAAAACGTACATTATTACGCCAGTTGATATATTTAGTAGTAAATTCTTTACTTGAACTTTTTAATGGTATTAACACCTGATCACGGCTATCATCCATCATACGGCTTTGGAACTTCTTCACCCTACTGCACTTTGTTTTTGAAATGCAATTTAATTTAATAAGTATAAAAATATACTTATTAAATTAATTAAAAACTATATAAGTATAGTTTTTAGTAACAGTAGAGCATTTATGAATATTTATTTCTAAACATCATTCAGTTCATGTGGATCTTACAGAAGACATTGTGAATAGCTGAAATTTAGTGAAGATTAGCACACTAATGGTCTAATAGTAAAACTCGGGAATGATAATAACAAAAACAAATGACTCAGAATTAGATAATATAGATATAATTAATGTTAAATTTTGCAATAATGAATAATCACTGCTTACCTTTTTGCTGGATCATTTCTTTTAATAAGCAATATATGATGTTCCAGAGCTTTGCGAACTACAAAGATGCTGCTTAGAAACAAAAAAAGATGCTAGCATAAAACATGAAATAATAGAAAATGGAAAAAAAAACAATTTGAATTAGTTGTAAGCCTACTAGAGAAATAAATCGGTGAAACTACCGCTGACATAATGCATATTTTGAGGGATCTTATGATTATTTTCATAATTATAGGAGAAACAAGAACTCGTAATGTATTCACAATTAAATATTAAGCATCGCATCAGAATTGAAGTTAATTTGTTTCTCAAGAAACTTTTAAATCGATTCTACACATTCGTAATAATGATGAGCGGTTAAGATGAAAAACAAATGGTCTAGGAACAATAGGAGGAAAGTGATACATAAGGAACAAAATTTATCTCAGGGATTTCCATAGAATAAATTTCCTTTGATAGAATGAAACATTATATTGTAATTTTAAAAAAAAAAAACTATAATTCATTATACTTACCATCAATAATTGTTCGTATTGGAGCTGTTGTAAAGCATCGTCTAATTAATGATGATGTCAAGGTAAAAGTCATTGGAATCGAAAAAAACTAAAATTTTATCAAATTTAACAAAAAAATTGATATGAAATGTAACAATTTATTTCAGTAAACACTAAAGATCTCCAAAATTTATGAAATGCATTATAATAGTAATGTACTAGCAGTGTTGCAAAAAAAATACTTGACAAAGAGCAGTGGAAGTTGATGAAAATGTAAATAATAAGTAAATTGCTCTGACAGATCCACTGAAGACTATTGATTACTAAGAAATTCTAATTAAAAGCTTTGCTTCAGTTATCAATTATTCCGCAAAGCTAACTGTGATCTGCTTCTCATTTAGAATTAACTCTCAGAGTGTTTTTAGTAAACATTTAAATTGCTAACCTTTGTGCTTTATATTAATTTGAAGATTTCAAATTGAAAAAAAAACAAACAAATTAATGAGTACGATTCGTAAAGTTTTTAATGTGAAAAAAAAAGGAACAAAACATGAATTATTAACAACATGAATTCAAGTTAAGATAAAATTTAAATTAAAATTAGGAGAGTAAGAATACGCTTAATATCAAAATATGAAGAGCAGAGATGAGCAAGGAAAAAATGAAATTGTAAATTGATAAGAAGCCATAAATATAAAGACCAAAACGAAAGACCAAAATTTGAAGCACCTCATTTCTAACATTCTTTTTAAGGAATGCCTTAAATCAGTTCAAAAAAAATTACATTAAAAAAATGCAGCAAATCTATTACTGTTTCCATCGACTTATTTTTACATCATACTAAATTAAACATAAAAAGTTGACTGACAATGAAAATAGCGAAAAAAAAAGTCAACCTCGCCTGAAAATAAACACCACGATTAAATGAATGGTCGTTATCGAGAAAATATATCTTTTAAAAATTTTAAAAATACGCAAATAAAGCTAACTTATTGTTCTTTCATCTCTTATCACTTCGACTAATTTTTTTTTTGTTTTTTTTTTGCTTCATCTCAATCTTTGACATATTTGCATGTATTCATGCAAATGCATCAAATACAATACACATGAAAAATGACAGAAATTTATTTATCCATCTATCTTTTCATTTATCGATCCATCTATCTATGCATTTATCGATCCATCTATCTATGCATTTATCGATCCATCTATCTATGCATTTATCGATCCATCTATCTACTCACTCATCTATCTATCTACTCATCTACCTACTCATCTATCTACCTACTCAATCTACCTATTCATCTATCTATCGATTAAAAATATTCAAAGAAGGCGTAGTTTCTCTACCACTGAATTGAGATTGAAAAGCCATTTGACTGCAACTAATTCACATCTTTTTTTTTCCTCCTTCTATTTTCGTTTCCTTCTCTTATAGCAATCACAATGGTGTCTTTTAAAGTTCTCTAATAGTTATGAATTATTAAATTTGTCATCCATATACATAAATAGCCGAACGATATTCACCATATGCTAATTATTACATACTGTTTAGTAAATATTTGAAGGAATTGAAATCGATCCTTTGATTTAGTTTTGAGAAAATGAGCAAAATTTCTGACTGGAACATGAAAATTGATGACCTTCATGAAAAGGTCATCAATTTTCAATGTTTCCTTAAATATTTTCCTCATATAGGATAAGATAGGAACTTAAATCATATCGAATGGGTTTTTTTTTTCAAAGACTGAAAAGAAGAATTACCCTAAAGGGAGCATTTAGAAGAGCATTGATTGAAACTCTCGAAATTATTTGGTGAGGATTTCCCTTTCTTTTTTTTTTTTTTGTTCTCTGTGTCCTCCCTCTATGCTTGAGGGGGTGGAAATGACGTAGTGCAAATGTGTAAAATAAAGCGCAGATTTAAACAGATGCAAATCCTTCACCAATCATATTAGATGCAAAAATATCCTCAAAGTTTAAATGCGATATTTAAGCCCAAATTAACGATTTACAGAAAAATTATTCAATTAGCGTCGAAATATTTACAAGTTGTTGATATTGTAAAATTGAAATATCAATTTTTTTTTTCCAGCACAAGCTTCTGTAAAAATTTACTGCAAAACATTATAATTTATCTATAATTTTTCAAAAATTTTTTTCTTACATTGAAAATTTCAGTTTATCATTACCATGGATTATCCAGAGTAAATCCCGTTTCAGTACTTAATCCACGGCATTTACATTACATAAACGCAACTTAACTAACTAAATGATGAAGCAATCGATTGAATGATTGAGAGAATGAACAATCTTTTGAGCGTAACCGTAATTGATTCAACAATATTGATTAATTAATACATTTGAAACAACTAAACAAAGCAAAGGACCGAACTGTAAAAGACGTGATCATTGACTAATTGATTTAATTATCAATTTTATTAAATTGATAAAAAACCGAAACAAGCACAGATTTCTAACTTAAATGCTTCAAATTTCATTAAAATTACTGAAGGAATAAAATAAGAATGTATTTAAAATTTAAAAAAAAAGCAATATAGTTGAGGTAATTGATCGATAAGTTTCCATCAATTTCCGTAAATTTATGGCCGCGAACAATTCTTGTAATCGATGACGACGAATCAGTTCTCGTGATCGTTAAGTGCATGCTAATTTTTGTAATCGATGGCTGAAAATAGAATTCAATTTATGTTATTTCAGTTATTTCATAAATAATTGTGCAGAAAATGAAAGTTCAAATTCTTTATTAATTTAAATGATCATTTTATGAGCTCTGTTAAAAATAAAATTTACAGTTGAAATTTTGACTGAAATCGAAAATTTTGAAATTACAAATTTTATCTATCATTAAATTTTCCGTCGATGAAAAGATGAAAGGAATAAAAAAAGAAAATGAAGATTATAGTTAGTAATCAAAAGCATAATGCTAGAACACACATTACCAAATATTAGTTTCGATTGTTAAATTTTTAACTTATTCTTCAATTTAAATACGCTTATTTGATCACCTAGCATAGGGATTATTAAAGCAGAGAAGAAAGTGGACTGTAATATTTTTTTGTTTAATTAGCTTTTGCAATGCAATAATAATTTTTAAATGCCTAATACAATTGTTGTTCCTCTTTAGTTAACTGGCCAAGCAAAGAAATAAGTATTATTAGCAAGGAAGAAAAAGAACTAAATTAAATGGTTTATTTTTTTAATTTATCAATTTAATGGATATATTATGTATCGATCATTGTTTGAGGCCAAATTTCATTAAAGAAAAAATGTGTAACAATTGCGCAATATTCAACAGGTAGTATTGTATATCCTATTTACAACTAATTCCATTACAAATTTCTCTCCTAAAAGCAATCAGATTATCTTATCAATAATTCTTCCAATTATCATCATTTAAGCTAACATAATTCTTTTCTCTCTTCATTCCTAACACTGATTAACTGCAAACAGTCGGAAATACCAAGAAAATAGCGTAAACAATTACATTTTTCATAATAATTGCCATGGAGATCAAAATGAAAAAATGAAATATATCAAATAAAAAATATGCATGCAAATGAAATTCATACAAAAGCATTGTTAATTTTACGGAGAATTTAACCATTTAAATGTAAATTTTTCTTTCGTCATTACTGTAACGATCGAAGGGTGCCGAACAAAAATGAAAAATGATCAATTTTATATGAAGTAAACATTTCATCCTTTAGCTAAAAAAATTCCATTCAATTGCTTCTTTCTTCGATAGAATCATTATTGCT